CAGAGCCTAGGGCTTGCTGATCAGAAGAGTGGCAGTTCAAATCCCCACAATGGGGTGACCTCCCGTTGCTCGGTCCCTGCTCCTGCCAACCTAGCAGTTTGAAAGCACGTCAAAGTGCAAGTAGATAAATAGGTACTGCTCCAATGGGAACGTAAACGGCATTTCCGTGTGCTGCTCTGGTTCGCCAGAAGTGGCTTAGTCATGCTGGCCACATGACCCGGAAGCTGTACGCCGGCTCCCTTGGCCAGTAAAGCGAGATGAGCGCCACAACCCCAGAGTCGTTCATGACTGGACTTATCAGTCAGAGGTCCCTTTACCTTTACCTTTACCCAGATGCTTAGGAAATTGAGATCATTTTAACCTGTTATAGTATTTTAACTTTTGTATGTGCTGTTGTAATTTTTTTCCTTGATTTCCTTGTTTTATCTTTTTGTAAACAGCTTTCGGGTTTTTATTTATTTATTTATTTATGAAATAACTAAATAGCGAATAACTAAATAATGAATATTTGACTACGGCCCAAATCTCAGGAAAAAAATCCAGCCTATTCTGAAGGATCCAGGACTCATTTGCTTTGGGATGAGACTGCCCAGGATTGCTCTAGGTCAGGTCGAGGGTCCATAGCCTTCCAGGGCATCAGGCAGGAAGCAGAGAGAGGCATGAGTGAGAAGGAGGCTGTGAAAAGGAGAGTCCTAAGATCACTGAATCATCCCCAAGGGTCGTCTAGTCCAAGCTGCTTCAATCACAGTCAAGAATCTCTGAGAGATGGCCACCCAGCCACTGTTTAGAAACCTTGAAAGAAGGAGAGTCCACCACCTCCTGAGAGAGTCTGTTTGTCACTGCCAAACAGCTCTTACAGTCAGAAAGTTCTTCCTAGCTGAAATACAGCAGTCAGAAGCAGTGTCCGGGCAGAAATTGCTGAAATATTTGGGAAAACAGATGTCGGAAGTGTAGATTTTGGTGAAAGAAAAGCTCAGCAATTTGGACAAAGCTAATAATAAAGCTCAACAAATTTTGTGTCCGTATTTCCACTTTTTGAAATATGGCAACCCTAGTTTAGCCTGGTTTAGGTGTTTTCTTTCTTGTCATTTGAATCCATGGGTTTGGATCTTACCCTTCGGAGCGGCAGAAAACACGCTTGCTCCATCTTCCAAGTGACAGGCCTTCAGATACTTGAAGACGGCTATCTTACCACCCTTCTGTCTTGTCTTCTCCATACTATACATATAATAATAATAATTTATTATTTATACCCTGCCCATTTGGCTGGGTTTCCCCAGCCACTCTGGGCGGCTTCCAACAAAACACTAAAAGACAATAACCTATTAAACATTAAAAGCTTCCCTAAACAGGGTTGACTTCAAATGTCTTCTAAAAGTTTGGTAGTTATTTTTCTCTTTGACATCTGATGGGAGGGTGTTCCACAGGGCGGGTGCCACTACTGAGAAGGCCCTCTGCCTGGTTGCCTGTAACTTGGCTTCTCGCAGCGAGGAAACCACCAGAAGGCCCTTGGTGCTGGACCTCAGTGTCTGGGCAGAACGATAGAGGTGGAGACGCTCCTTCAGGTATACTGGACCGAGGCTGTTTAGGGCTTTAAAGGTCAGCACCAACACGTTGAATTGTGCTCGGAAACGTACTGGGAGCCAGTGTAGGTCTTTCAAGACTGGTGTTATATGGTCTCAAAGTCACCAGTCTAGCTGCCGCATTCTGGATTAGTTGAAGTTTTCGGGTCACCTTCAAAGGTAGCCCAGCTCCTTCAACTGTTCCTCATAAGGCTTGGTTTCCAGACCCTTTATCCCATCACCTCTGACCACTGTTTTTGATAGCTAGGGATGATAGGAGTTGTAGTCCAAAAACAGCTGGAGACCCAAGTTTGGGAAACACTGGTATATGTGCCTACCACGCGTGATGGCTTATGGCAGCTTAGCTAGTAACCTTTATTCTTGCTATAGTAACCATTATGCTTGGGAGATGAGCAGCAAATATTCTGGATATATATCCTTTACTGTGCTTCACCCAGTATACATAACAACTGCCTAGGGTTACATTTGGCAAGAATCTAATCTTGTTGTTTGTGTTATTAATTAAGCTTCCGTCAACGTTTCCACTATAAACCCTCTTTGTAAAAGTGGCTGTAAAAATTCGCTCTAGATTAAAACTCGGCATATAAGACCTTCCACCTGGGAGAGTTAATATTTCTTCTATATTCTGTTACTAACTGTAAGAAGGCTTCAAGCAGCTCACAACATGGAAGAGAAGCAGTCATGGGTAAAAATGTCAATCTTTATGGATGTGTTTGGAGGCAATCTGAAGTCTTCGTAGCTGGAGTTGAGCTCTGATAAAATCAATGGGCATTATTCAGCTAGGCGCTACTCAGAGTAGACCCATTGAAGTTAATGGACATGACTGACTTAGGTTCATTAATTTCAGTAAGTCTACTTGGATGAATACAACTCAATCGGGCTGGCTCACAAGCAAAACTGTTCCTCATTCAGTGACTTGGGACTCAGCTACATTAGTAAAGAAACAGCAATTTGAATGTGCTATAAACATGCAACACCAGATGGCGCCAGAGAGCAGGGAATTTTAAAATGTGCTTTTCCATAGAGATTATTTTCTTTTGTTATAACGATCTGATTTCTGACGTTTTATAGTGTTTTTTTCCTGTGTCTAGATCCACCCTTGGGCTGCATTCACACTGCAGTTTATTCTGTTTTCCCAATGTTTCCCGGTTAATTTCCACATTATATTTGAGCTTTTGCATGACATATGCACTGCTTCCAGAAATACAGTGGTGCCTCGCAAGACGAAAATAATCCGTTCCGCGAGTCTCTTCGTCTAGAGGTTTTTTCGTCTTGCGAAGCAACCCTATTAGCGGCTTAGCGCTATTAGCGGTTTAGCGGTTTAGCGGCTATTAGCGGCTAAAAGGCTATTAGCGGCTTAGCGGCTTAGAAAAAGGGGGGGGAAGCGAAAAAAATCGCAAGACTCGCAAGACGTTTTCGTCTTGCGAAGCAAGCCCATAGGGAAATTCGTCTTGCGAAGCGCATTGAAAAACGGAAAACCCTTTCGTCTAGCGGGTTTTTCGTCTTGCGAGGCATTCGTCTTGCGGGGCACCACTGTATAGCAGAAGATATTACAAGTTTCATGCTCATTTTTATGTTAGTTGCACGGCTGATGGGAGCTGGAGTCAACAACATCTGGAGGTCTAGATGGCAATCCTTTTCAGCAGAACCTGTTCACAACTAGTGAACTGAATTCCTACTTTCTCTAAAATGCATATATTAGTGAAAACAACATTAAAATGCATTATATTAGGGGGAAATGCTTCCTCTAATATGTATACAATGTTTATATTAGGTTAAATTATCTGATGAATTTTGAAGAGTATTTTTTAATATAAAAATGAAAAGTGATGCAGAAATATTGAGGATTGAACTTAAGCTTCGGGGGGAAATGAGAACAGAGAGAAACAAAAAATGAAAAAATTGCTTATACCTACTCGGGATTCTACAGCCACATTTTGCTATGATTGGCAACTGTGGGTTGTATTCAGCTAGTCCTGCTCAGAGTTAAGGTAGTCATATTTATGATTTCAGTAAGTCTACTCTGAGTAGGCCTAGCATTGAACACCTCCCCCTCAGGTGTGCATGCCATGGCACGTTTGAGTGTCCTCAATACCTCGGATGCTGTTGACATTGCATGAAAATTCGCCCCTTTTTTTGGGAGGGTGTCAGAGAAGGTCTTTTCAGGAAACTAAATGGACATCTGCTGTGGGATGATTGCATTGTTTCTGCCTCAGAAGTCTTGCAAAGCGCATTCTATTCTTGATGGAAGACTGTACATTTCCCCCTTTGCTCAGCCTATGTGTGAAGTATCAGCTTGAAACAGGAACCTGAAATAAGTGCCTCTCCTCCCACTCCATCACACAGAGGAGCGATTTGTGCCTGCGGCAATTCTGATGCCTCCTGGGCACTGGGCATTTTTGTCAAGGAGTTTGAAATGCCATCGTTTGTACTCGTTTGGAGAAACAAAGCTCACCTTGGCTTTAATGGATGGCAATTGGTTAGCAGCAGAAGGACCTGTAACGGTAGGAACAGTTTGTAACAAATGTGAAGTGACCAAGGAGTCATAGCAGATATAATCCACCCTCCTTGGGAACAGAGCTTAACACTTATTCAGGGCCAGTCCAAGACATTTTGCTAACTGAGGCCAGGGACCAGCCCTACTGTTAGACAGAATGAGGTGGCCACTGTCTTAGAAAGTTCTTTTTGGATGAATGGTTAGTAAATTACTCAGAACCTGAGAAGCTGCCTTATACTGAATCAGGGCATTCATCTACTTAGCTTAGTATTGTCTGCACTGACTGGCAGTGACCTTTCAGGATTTCAGAGAAAGGACATTTCCAGCCCTATTTGAAGGTGCTGAGAATTGACCCTGGGACCTTCTGCATAAAAAGCAAATGCTGTACCACAGGGCTATGGTCTTTAGACCCAGGATGCCAGGAAGCTGCCCTATATCTAATCCAAGCACCAGTCCATCTATCTCAGTATTGTCTTCATGGGACTGATGGGAATTGTGGTCCAAAAGATCTGGATAATACTAGGTTGGTGAAAGCTGATTTAGCCACTTTAAATACAGCAGGAAAGACTGGAGACTGAACATTCAGTACCTTGGATACATATTGTGTCAAGAACACGGCAGTGTAAATGCTGTTTACATCAACAAAGAGAATGTGTGCCTCGCATTTGTTTTTCTTTTGTTTACATTTCGTTTTCATTTTGTTTGTGTGTGTTGCGTTTTTGCTAGTGGGAATTTCTTTGCTGAATGTTCCTCCAGGGCATCAGGCAGATTGGCTGAGCTGGGAGAAGGGGGTGGGGAGGAGGAAAAGATCATAATAAAAATAGGGAAGGAAGAAAAACACACATTCAAGCTGACTGGTGAATTGCTGTATTATTTTTATATTGAAAAAGAGTCAACTCTCATCGGTTTATATTAGCAGTGGATTCGACATCAAGAGTTATGGAATAACATTTCTGTTGAGAGGTGACAGGTGCCTACAGTCAGCACTTTCTGGAAACAATTGAAGACGTTTTTGTTCAGACAAGTTTCCCCAGCTGGATAAATGGGTTCTTGCCACAAGCACCCGTTCTGTAGGGTTTTAGTTTTGCCTTAGATGTATCTGCCGTTTTTAAATAATCAGTTTTTGTGGTTTTTATTGCATAGAATTGTCTTTATGCAGTTGGGGCCATTGTAATAATAATAGCTAGATTTCAAACTGCATGGCAGGCTGTAGAGGTGATGGTTGGACTTTTGTCTGTTAACGGTGGGGAAATCTTATTTATTTCTTATTTACTATTACATTTATTTCCCACCTTTCCTCCAAGGAGCTCAAGGCAGCATCCGTGGTTCCCTTCCCTCTGCATTTCAAAAGAAGGGGAGAGGGAAGGGAGACTGGGAACCAACATTCTCCAGAGGGAAAAGCTGTACCCCCAACACTGTTGTCTGTTTATAGCTCACCCGCTTCTGATAGCATGAGTGCATGCATGTGGATGTGGCATGTATGAAAATATGTCTCATGAAAATGCGGCCCAAGAGAATAAAATTAAATCAGACCAAGTGCTGCAGTGCCACGTCAGCATGCCAGCCTTAACCAGGGATACTCCATTCTGTTTCCTCAAAGCCAGTTAACCTGCTCTGTCCTCACTAGTGGAGGTTTCTCCCTCCTAAAGACAGATTGCATTTCTGCAAAACTTCGAGTTTCCCCCTGAATCTGCTGATAGCTCCCTCTGGGTGGGTGTTACTGTTTTGGCTACATAAGGACTGGTGCTCAGGGAATTGCAACCGCATGGAAATGCTATTAAGATCCTCACACCTCTTCTGGTATAATGCCAGCTCCAATGCTTGGGCTTCAATTATTCACTTGTTTCAGCTTGCCTGTCAATACAGAACTCAAGGCAGCTTAGGCTGCGTGCACACTGTGTTGTCAAGGCAGATTTGGGGCACATTCTTTCACTCAAAGGATTCTGGGCACTGTAGTTTGCTGGGAATTTTAGCTCTGTGAAGGGGAAATGACAGTGCCCAGAATTCTCTGAGGGAGAGGCCTAATGGGCACAGCAACTCTTTTTCGGTAGGTCTTGCCCCTATGAGGCAGTTGTGGAGACTGAAGACCCCCACTTTCCCACAGCTTTCTAAGTCTCCTTCTCTCCCGGGTTCTTCCCAAGTACTCTGAGACTACACTGATGTGCCTGCCTTTGCTCCTCCCACTTCATACCTCTCTTGGTCCTGGGAGACCAGAGAGGAGAGGAGCTTGTGCAGCAGGAGGGGGAGACACCCTGGCTTCTTCAGCAGCCTCTTTCTGCCCCTTGGCCTTCCTCCTCTCCTGCTTCTGCTTCTGGACTTCTCTCTGCTTCAAATTCACCCGGCTCAATAAACCCTGTTGCCTCTTTCGACACCTCCTCTTCCCAGCCTTTTCCCTCTTCTCCCTGCGACCGCTCATTGTTGTCCCACCCCCAATCCCCTGGCTCTGAGCCTTCTTCCCTTGGAGCTTCCCCAGCTGGTACCTCCCACCAATCCTCTGTATCCAGCTAGTCTGTGCTGGTCCCGGGGGGAGGTTACCATGAGGCGTGGTCAGAGTCCGGTCCTGGGTTGAGGGTCTGGAGACTGTCCACCAAGGGAGAAGTGGGGTCCAAAGCAAGAAGCCGGGCGTGGTCGGGAGCTCCGGAAGAACAGGTCTGGGTGCTGGCAGAAACAGGTTTCCAACGTCATTGCTCCCGCAACCTGGGACTGGGCTGACTGGCCTTTATCTCCTCTGATGCCAGGGGCGGTCCTGGCCCACAGGTGACCCGTCTCTCCTGGCCTTAAGGAGAGCACTCCTCCTGAGAGAACTTAGTTCCCTCCGCCTCTCTGCCCTGAGCCTCTGCAGCTCAGGAGAGGCTGGAGGGTTACTGGGCCCAGGAGCAGCTTCACATTCCCCTGACAGGGCTGGGAGAGGCGCACCTGCAGGCGATGGGTCCTCAATCACCTCCGGAGCCAGAGTGGATACATCTGGTGTCTGTTCCTGAGGATCCGGCACAGGTGCAGGCCCTTCAGATTCAAGCCCCTGCCCCGGCTCAGCCAGCCCTGGAGGCAGGGACTCCTGTGCAGGCTGGGACTCCTCAGGTTCAGCTTCTGAATCAGACTCCCAGGCCATCACACAGTCCATGACAGCCAGAGTGTGCTTCTTTTCTGCTTTGGAGTCTCAGCAATTGATATTTAGAAGTGAGAAGTCTGCCCGGGGAGTAAGAAAGAAGCTCCCTGAAGCTGTTACTTCTGTAGCTGTTGAATGGGACATACTAGTTCATACACACATACACAAACCCCACCCCACTGTGATGTTCTTCCTAGGAGGCAGGGAGTTGGAACCTCTCAAAAGCACTTGGTATCCTGTGTGATGGTGGCCACTTACCTCACCTTGGAAGGCCTCCAGTTCTGATCTTAGATACCAGGAAGGTTGCAAGAAGGGATAACTCTGTGGTACCTGGGTCCTGCTTTGGGGCTTGCCAGAGGTATTTGCTTGGCCGGTGTGAGAACAGGATGCTGGAGTAGATGGGCCTTTGGCCTGATCCTGCAGGTGTCTTCCTTTGTTCTTCTGCTCTTATGGGCAGCTTAGGCTGAGAAGGAGGTCTCCAAAGTCACTCAACGGGCTTCATGTTCTAAGCAGGCCTTTCAAATGCCAGCGCCTCCAAGTCAAGTCTAAAGCTCTCCAGCATCCCATGCCACACTGCCTCTGTGTTTGAGAAACAAAAGGCATCAAAGCTCACGGCAGTTCGTTAAGAAGCGTGGGAAGAGAGCCTACTTGTCAACTCCCTCCTGAGTTAGCGACTGCTATGGAGAGAAGTTGGTGTGTGTATTTTTGGCCTCAGCATTTTGGCATCTCTTCAAAGCTTCTGTTCCTGTTTGCTTCTCCCCTTCTGAACAGCCCCTTTCTGAGCAGGCCTGGCTGGTACCAAAAGGCAGAGGGACCACAGCTGAATGCAAGGGCCGGATCCTTACCTTCCCCACTGAACCAACTTTGACAGGTGGGTACGGCTGCCCGCCTGTCAATTACCTGATGTCATCATGGCATCAGGCGATGACTTCAAAGCAGCTCCTCTCAACCCCAACGGGGAACTACCGGGCGCAGGTGATCCCAGCCACCATTTTACCTGCCCCACATATGGCCTCAGCTGTTGGGCCACTGGGCGTGGTTTGGGAACAATGGCCCCACAACCCAAATTAGGATCCCTGATGCGTCTATTTAGGCAGAAGTTCCTCACTGCTGCCCTAGCGTCGAAGTGCCTGCTTTTCTTACTGACGGCCCTGAGTTCACTCCTGGGGTTGTGCCTTTCTCTCCTCCCCATAAAATATTTGAGGGGGCTGTCCCCCCCCAATTGATAGCCATTGCCATTCAAATGGTTGTGTTAGCATGTTGCGTCTTGTGCACCGTGTCTTACCTGCCCCCCACAATTCAAGTTGGCTCCCCTGATCTCTGTCATCTCCAGTTAAAAGGCTGCAGTAGCGGGTGATAGGAGAAACCTTCCTCTGCTGAGACCCTGGAAATCCCAAGAAGAAGAAGAAGAAGAAGAAGAAGAGGAGGAGGAGTTTGGATTTGATATCCCGCTTTATCACTACCCGAAGGAGTCTCAAAGCGGCTAACATTTTCCTTTCCCTTCCTCCCCCACAACAAACACTCTGTGAGGTGAGTGGGGCTGAGAGACTTCAGAGAAGTGTGACTGGCCCAAGGTCACCCAGCAGCTGCATGTGGAGGAGCAAGGAAGCGAACCCGTTTCACCAGATTTACGAGTCTACCGCTCTTAACCACTACACCACACTACCTCAAGCAAGGGGGCAGCTGTTGCTCTGTCTGAAGCCCTCTCTGCTACTTCCTCCAGAGCCTGCCTTTGCTAGGCGAGAGCATAAAGCTGGCCTCCTTCCCTCTTTCCGCCCCAACACGATCATAAACTGTACAACTGCAGTCACTTTGTGCTTTCCTGTTCGGGGCCAGTGGAGAAAATCCGGAGGAGGGTTGGCAGCTTTGATCCTTTCTCAGGGAGAGATTGAGTCATCAATCACAAGTGACACCTGCAACAAAATGTTGCAGCGTGAGTGCTGCTGCTCAGGGTGCCAGCCAGCCAGCCAGCCATTTCCTCTTTTGGGACATTATATAACTTTCCCTCTTTTGTGCTGCACCTCTGCAGCAGTCAGCCAACATCCTGTAACTACTGACAATGCTCAACCCTCGTTGATCTGTTTCCCTCCCCTTTAGGGTTATATATGTCTGCAAAATTTGGATTTCCTCCACGTCTGCCAATACATCCTTCTTGTGTGCGCATGCTGTCATATTGGTTACATAAGAATGCACACTCTGAGAATGAATTTATATCAGGGGTGAGACGCCAGTAGCCCTCCATATCTTGTTGGAATCCAACCCCTATCTGCCCTGGCTCCCACCCAAATCCACTGATGCGTGCATTTACTTGTAAGTAAAGAAGCAAACTTTTCTAATAGCACTTCTGTGAGCTAAACTTAGCAGTGAGATGTAGCAACAGCAGCAGCAAAAACAAAACAGAACAAAACAAAAAACAAAAAAGCTAATGCAATTCTAGGTGGAAGTAATAGTACTGCTCTATTCTGCTTTGTAAACCCTACACAAATCCAGAGTGGAGTTTCTAAGGCAGTTGGATCGTGCCTTGTTATGCCGCCTTCTGGCAACTCCTGCAGCCAAGCTCGTGCCAAATGTATTGCTCTGCTTTCCTTTGGACCACCTCAGTGAGTCAGAGATGGGGTTCCTGTCGTCTGGGTAGCCCAGGACACACTGCCCAGGCACTTCGGCGCTGCTAACACAGCAAAAACAACATAGGAGGCAGCAGTTATGGATTACTGGTCTCTGCAGCCACAGCAGGCACTGTGATTCTCCAGTGGTTTGACTTCACCTCAGAGGTGAACTCCATTGTCTCTTTGTCTCCCATTGCCAGCAACAATTCTGCCTTGTGAGGACAAAATGGTCTATGCATACCTTCTTCTTCTTTCTTCTTTTCTTTTTCTTTGGTGATCACTTGTAGCCGAGTAAGATTGTCTTCCGTAAACATGGCTTTAACAGTGAGTCCCGTAAGTGACTGTGGAGGCCAATTCTGGATCCACATGTCCTTCCACAGAGCCATTTCCCGTTCCTGGGGAAATGACGTTGTGGGCTGGGAGCAAGCCCTCCCCATGTGCACGGGGCATAGCCCCAGCGCCATTGGAGGGTCCTCGGCCACATCATCCCTAGGCCGCCCAACCTGGACAGTCCAGGGGCATGGCGTGGGCTGTTTAAACTGCCCGCAGCTGAGGACTCCTCCCTTCTCCTCCCTGCTTGGTCAGTTCTCCCGCCCTCCTCCCTTAGGGTTAGGCTCTTTATCTCTTGACCTTACTAGGGACCTCAGTTGGTCGCCTGTTGAAGGGGCCTGGTAGGATTTTTTTCCACTTGGCAAATTGGCACTGGCCATTTGGTTTTTCGCCTACCTCGTAGCAAATCGTCCCAACTTTGTAAGGTTTGGCGGTTAGACATTGGGAGTATTCGGTTGGAGATGAGGTGAGGTAGTGGCCATCACCTGCCCTTCCTAATTCAAGGGTATTCCTTTAAATGAATCCGGGGGCGTGGTCTCTGTCCGAAGCCCCAGAGAGGGGTCTAGGGCCATGGCACGACCCCTAGCTGTGACCCTGCGGGAGTTCCTGGTTGATGTGCATCAGCAGGGCTCCCCCTACTGGTGGTTAACCCTTCCAAGACTTCCTACAGACAGGCAGGAGTCAGATACAGTGGTACCTCTGGTTACGTACTTAATTTGTTCCGGAGGTCTGTTCTTAACCTGAAACTGTTCTTAACCTGAAGCACCACTTTAGCTAATGGGGCCTCCCACTGCCACAGCGCCGCCTGAGCACAATTTCTGTTCTCATCCTGAAGCAAAGTTCTTAACCCAAGGTACTATTTCTGGGTTAGCGGAGTCTGTAACCTGAAGCGTATGTAACCTGAAGTGTATGTAACCCGAGGTACCACTGTATAGTCATGTGGTTTCCAATGCCAATACCACTCACATTCTGTAACCAATAAATTTGTGGTCATTTTTGCCCATTAACCTAAAATACTGTTTCATGTGTCTTTATTCCACTTCCCGGGGTGTTGGGGACCTTGCCACGCAATGGGGACATAGGTTTCCAGGTGGGGGTTGATCACAGTGAGCATTTCCCAAGCGTGCCTTCCTCTTAGCACATTTCTCCCTTTT